AACCTTCCCGAATTCGTACTCGTGGCCCCGAATTCATTTTTGTGCACTCTTGTGACAGAAAATCGTTACTTTAATAAGGCTTTATTATGATGAGATGATCTTCCAAAATTAGCCAATCATGATAAAGCCCGCTATGCTGGTAATAGTACCAGTTTTAATGTTAATGTGCTATTAATAGCGCTAATATTAATAGCATTTCGGGTTTTATTCAGTAAAAAATAAATTAATGTATTTGGCATATATTAATTAGTTTATTCCAATATTTTTTTTAATATTAGGCGATCATATTGTTTGTAGAATTACTACCAATACTTCAAATGATGATACCAAAATCAATAATATATCAAGACAAGAATCCAGCAAAAATTTGGGTAAATATATAAACTTGTTTAAATTTATTTTTAATAATTGGATATTAATTTTATTTTTTAAATATAGATAAATCTGATTCCTGCATTAATGAACTTACAAATAAATTTGCAGATGCTTCAATTTCTTAAAGATTTTCTGAATCAATTTTATATTTAATTATAAATATATTTTATATGCTGTATTAATATTTATATATATATATATTATTTGCATTTTTAAAATTTATATAATTATTATTTGAAAATTATTATTTCATACTAGTGCAAAAATGCAAACTTTATTACGTAACTTCCTAATCATTTTATCCTTTCTAATCTTTTTATTTCGCTCTCTTAAAATTTATTTTTCCAATATTTAGTTTTTATAGCATGAAATACAGTATCTATGCAATAGCTTGCAGCATTATAGTTTACAGTTTTATGGCAAATAATAAAATTACCGTGCTAATCATGTCAATGAATTATGTATATTACCCTGAAAAAATACACTGACTTTCCTTAGATTATTGTTTCAAAAAATGCACATTTTTCTGGAACGAAACAAATATAAATTCCCTGTTATTTCAGTACAATTTTGATAATTTCCGGTAAAAATTAAATCCTGATAATATTCGGTCTTAAGGAGGCCAAAATTACCAGCATTTAATTTTTACCCTAAAATTATATTTTGTTCCACATTTTCTGCGGTAATAGTTTGAGAAAAGTCGGAAGATTGGTTTCAAAAAAATTTTTTTATTTAGTTATAGGTATAGTATTTTGATATAATGAAGTTTTATATTAGCCTTGGAACTTTCAACTGCTTCAAGAGTTGGTGATTGATATTATGTGAAAATCTTTTTTATAAAATTAATAAAAAGTAATAAATACAGATTCTATCTCATATAATCCATATAGATCATCAATTTTTGAAAACTACTCTTTAGAGTTTGATGATTAAAATTGTAAAGGGTTATTTTCTTGATTAAAAAACCTAACTCACATATATATAGTTTTAAAAAAAACATGTATATAATTCAAAATATCTTTAAACAACTTCAAGTAACCTAAAACTATGGTTTGAAACATCCTCTGGTTATTTAAAAGTAGTTTAAACCTATCTTTTAATGTTTGAAACGATCTCCCATCACATATATATAAAATAAGAATAATGATACAAACAAAAAATAATAAAACATAAGATTGGAAGAATAATGGATAGATGATAATGCCAATAAAACAAACAAAGCAAGCGTATATTATAACGCATTCTAAGCACCATCAATTCTTCAATACATTTCAGAAAACAGAACTCTGATACATTGATGATTGAAATAATGATCCGAATCTATGTCTAATATGACATAAATTAAAACCACTATTACAAATAATATGATATTTATTTATTTACCAGTTTTGTATTATATGAAGGGCATTTTCTCATAAAACTGTTAACCATTCAAAGACAAATTCTGCAATCTATTGCGATTATTTAATTGAGTACCCAATTCATTGATTTCTATTATTTTTCCTAAAATATCTTGGATTTCTTCATCAGTTAGCACCTCAGATAGTCCATTTTTGCATCTTTCCAACTGTTTACGGGCATAAGCGCTGTTACTACGTAAAACTTCTTCCTGAGTATCTTGTAAGCTTTCTAACCACAACTGATTTGCCTTATCCAAGCCATTTCTAATAACATCTAAATGGTACTCTAAGCTCTTTTCTTTAATTTTCTTAGTCTCTAATTTTAAATCATCTGTAATTAGAATCAAAGTAGTTAATTTTCCTACTTGATTTTTTAAGTCATTGTCACAAAAATTGAGTCGTTTATTTCTGCTGAAATTAGCAGAAACCAAGTTTGGTTTACTTCCAAAATATAAGTAACCAAGAGTAGTAAAATTAATCGTAATATTAGTTAATTTAGTGCATTTATCAACTTTCAAACTAGTTAGCTTTTGTTGCTGGTTCCCATCACCTGTAATATAAAGCTCCTTCAAACTAACAAATTCATTAAGATCTAGCTCTCCTTCCAAAATACCATAATAATTGATGTTAGTTGTACCGACACTACTACAACCAGTGCAGCTGTTGATATTAAAATGTGTTATTGGCTTTCTTTTATCTGCAGGAATTTTATTATTCAACCATTCGTTTGCATTTACCATTATTATTATGACTAATGAATCTATGTGTGAATGATAATAATCAAACAACTGTATTCTACAGAACGTAATCTTTTAATGCATCTTTAATGAAATTGTAATATTTATAATAAACAATACAGCACGGTAACCTGAAATCAACCGCAAACGTTAAAATAATATGCACAGTACATAATATGGACATATTAGGTTCTACAAGTTCCGCTGCACTATTAAACATAGTCATGAGCCTATGCATTAACAGTGCATGTAACGGTATTTGCAGAGCCCTAGTACTCATATACCCAAAATAAAGAATCATTATTTGGCTGAAAATAACTTGTTTCTGCAAGTGATACAAACCAAACTTGTAAGTGAAAAAAATCACACATTTACTGTAATATAAATAATATTCTATAAAATTAACCTTTTGCCACCTCAGGTAACCGCACTCATATTTGATTAGTGGCCTTTCCCTTTTCACGCTATAGTGTAACTTGAGATATTTATGTTAAAAAACCATAACTACATTACCTTGATTAAATTACCACCAAAAAAAAATTTCCTATTATTTCAAAGTAAAAAATTGGCGTTATTATGGTTTGTATTTTGCAATTAGATTATGATTTGAAAGTTTACTTATGCCAAAATTTTACAAGGAAATTCGACCAATGGTCGAGTTATAATAACTATCATTGGGAAATGGACAAACAAGCACAAATGTTGATAATATTTGGGAAAAAATTGGCGAATAACAGTAATACGATTTAACCGGGCAATGATTTGCTAGCATCAACAACAACGTTTAAAAGATGC